TGTTTGCCGACTTGCACGAAATATTGCACATTTTCATTTATGCACTGGGGCTTATTTGCGCGACAATCCAGAATATACATCAGAAAACATAAAACAGAAGTGCTAATGAATGAGCCGAATTGCCGAACTTTCCACATAGGCAATGGACTTAAATAGTACGGTTTGAAGGACAGACAGATAATTTTATCTTATTTTTTAATTAAAAATGAATTTGTTACGAAGTGACATATTTGGGACTTCACAAAGAAATCTGAACACTATTTCAAAAATGTTCCAGTAACATAAGAAGTTAGGCTAGTGTCACCTCTACCTGAGGTGTGCAACAAGCCACACAATGGAGACTGAAATATCGGAGCGAAAAAATTGACTTGACTTGTTTTAATTATTGATTTAAACAGGCTGTTAGTATGACTAAGTTGTAAAACAGCCAGTAAAATTCTTGAAGCATTGAAAGACATGAATTGGAATATGATAAATTTCTTAATTGCCGATTTGATTTTTCATTTGTCATTTTGTATAGTCAAAGTATATTATTATAGCAAACTGATAATTTATAACCGGGGCGTTTCTTTCCAAAGCATGAAAGTAGCTTTTACCTGTGTTTGTGTGTGAGGGGGCTGGGGGGGGGGGGCGCGTAGGTCGTGCGCGGAAATCTCCCTCTCTGTCAATTGTCAGTGTTGACAGGTATGTAATGGACCGGGAGAATAGAGGAAATTGAGTTACAAAGGGTTAATGCTACAGTATTTGACCTCAGAGTCTATTTCAACATGATTGTGACGGTGTCCATGAATTTCATCATATTGTGCTAGTGAAGACAGCGATAAATGATAGAGGGCGCTGATATGATAATTTTCATCTAATTTCTCCGGAGTATCATAAAAAAATTTTTAAATACTCGAAACTTTTTGTACTGAATACAAAAAAAAAGCCACACGGTTATCAATTTATTGCCATAACAGCGACAATTATTTAACAATTTTTTAGCACTTACATTTATCCCCTCGGGTAGTGCTGGTTAATTTGAACGTTTTGTGGTTAAAATGGGTGTTAGAGCTAAAATATCTGCAAGTACTGTAGCGTTAGTAAACGCTTAATCCGACTTCAAATCAGTATACCAATTTAACTATAGTTTTAAAGTCAATCAACCAATGCAGCCCATAAAGAAGTAGAAGCACAGTATGTCGTCCAACTTTGGCACTTGGCACACTTCCCCTATATAGTTTTGGGCCAAGTAGGCCCTGGGGAACAATTTGGGGAAATAATTTGAGAATGTCCATTTCACAAGCTAATGCGAAAGAAATTGAAGGCTATACATGTATATGTATTATATTATTTTTCCTATTTATTTATTATTACTCATTTTATGTTTTTGTTTATTAATAAGTCACTTTTTGGCTAAAATTGGAATATTCTTTATTCTTTATACATATAAAGGACCGCGTTTAGACTAATATTTCATCTTTTCTGTTAGCATTCGGTCACTGTATGAGAGCTTGAGTATCCCTACTGGGCTAAAATCTTACTGGGACGAAAAAACAACCAGCAGATGTGGATATACATGTTTTTCCTTATCATAGGCTGAACAGATCGCAAAATGATCATTAGACTTGCAAATTAATTTTAATGGAATAGCTAGCATGTGCACGAGACTCGTTTAATTAGCTTTGCGCGACAAGGTTTTTTTTTTCAGTAACACCCCAATCTTAATGCCTGAGCCCCGTAACTCGAAAGCATCGCGCATTGCGACCGAGCGCAAGCGTCTCGATTCCATAACTCGCCCATACTCGCCCCATATAATACATTGTAGCCAATACGCGATGCTTTATAGTTACGGGGCCCTCCAATTGTGATAGGGACAAGCAGACGCAGAGACAAAAAAAACTTATCTGAGGTTTTGGTCGTCTTAATCCATCCCTTTAGGCCAAATTATGAAAATTCCCATTTCTAAAGCTCAGTTTTTACCCATTATTTTATCTTATTTGTTATTTTTTCCGTACCGTGTTATTTGCTGTGCGTGGGAAGTTGCATGCCTTCCTCACATCGCTCGACCCTTAAGCAATTTCTATCCAACAAAGTTGCCTGTTTTTTTTGTTTTTTTTTTCTTATCACTGGTGCATACATTAAAATTATCGACATATATAAATATGACAGTAAATAAAGATATACTTTATGAAGTATAATTTTTTTCAAACTGAGTAAGCACTGCTAAAATTAATTATTGAAAATTGTTCTTCATTACTTTCACCTACATGACTTGATTCTTTTTCCTGTCACAAGAGAGTCTTTCAAGAATACAGCTTTAACGGTCTAGTTTGTTCCTGTTATTTGAATGCATTTCCCCTTAGGTATTATAATCTTTCTTCCTCTTTTTCGAAAACCTTTTAAAAAATGTTAAAGAAGTTTCACTATGCATTCATCCCGGAATTTCTTCAGTTAATGTTGTCTTGAAGATGACACCCAGCTTCACCACCCTATGTTTTTCTCCCTATTGTTTCGGAACGGGGATGGGGGGGGGGGGTGTTTCCATATTCCTTTGTACATATATGGTATTCAATACTGACAAAATTAATTCTTGAAAAGTGTTCTTAATTGTTTACACCTACATCTGTACATGGCTTCATTCTTTGTTTTTCCTGTCACAAGGGGCAGTCTTTCAAGACTACATCTGTAACAGTCCAGTTTGTTCCTGTTATTTGCACACATTATCCCCTTGGAAATATGATCGTTCTTCCTCCTTTTACAAAATCTGTAAATTTTTTTCAAAGAAATTGTTGAGAACAGAGAATTCTGAAAAGTAGCTGCTGTCATGATAACGCTGCAAGGGACGCGGTGGGGCCCGATCTTACGCTTCGGTCACAACCGGCCCGCACGGGCTCTTACGGGCTGTTTGTGTCCAAATTATGCGCAGAATCTCACGTCCCACGCAAGTCTTTCTTAAGCCTAGGTCCCAACTACGTTTTGGACGCACGGTTTTTTAGGTTCCTTGCGTCCGGCTAGGACGTAGCTAGATCGCAGGGAAGGAATCAAGTAATTGGTGATTGCAAAGTGTTCATCACGTCGTAAAGTTTCTGCGTGCTGTTTGCGTCCTCCAAAAGTCGCACGATGGACGTGCTGCTCACGCACGAACTCCCACGTTTTCCCCATTTTTTTCGGCCGTAGACCACACGTAGCGTTCGATTGGGACCTAGGCTTTACGAAATTTTGAGTTCGCAGACAGCCTGTAAGCACGTACGGGGGAAACTGGACATGTCCAAAAGATTCCACGAATAACCTGCGAACAGCAAGGCCGCCAGCGTAACTTGCTCCCATCAGTTCGCAAGTAAGTCGTGCGTGGTCCAAGATGCACGTCGCAAGCAATGAAGGTGCCCTTTTTTTGCGTGTTGAGTATGCACACGCCCATCCAGGTAACGAACAAAGTCGAAAGCAGCCGAGAATGCGTCGCACGTTTGTCACCCCCAAGCCGGGAGTATAAAAGGCGTGCTAACGACGCACGCTCATGTCTTGACAATGAACGTCGATTGAGCAACGTGTACAACAATTTTCAAAAAATTCAAATTTTGCTCAATTTAGCTTCTAGTATTCCTCCAAAATTTCAAGAGAAAGAAGCTTAGAGAGCAGAAAAGAAGGGAGGAGGAAGAAGAAAGGCGGGGAGAACAGGAGCAAAACTGACGTACGCCGTCAGTACGTCATCATAAGCGTGTGAGGCAAGAAGTAACGCAAAAGGGTACTACTTTCGCTGTGCGTTGCATTCTCTTCATAAGCGGAAAGTGCGTGCCACGTAACGCAGGTACTGTAGGAAGCTGTTCGATGACTATGGTTATCAACTGCGTAATGATTGTGATTGACGTTTGTTTATAAAACCGTCAATCAAAGTCGTGTGCTTTTGACAGCTTCCGTAAAAATAAATTAAACCGTATGAGTTTGATTGGCACCTGTCTATCACAACACTTTTGTTACCTTTAGTTAGTAAAAAGCAAAGTGCATTTTTCCATGCAGCTCTTTTTAGTCTCAATTCCTACCAGTCCTGATAGGTACGTCTCGACAGATACGTCTTGACAGATAACGGGACCCGATACTTCTACGTCCCCATATCTTTAAACCCATGTACCGATAAATGCAAGTGCCGATAGACTAATCAGATTAGAGTCTGCTTTTGAAAATGCCACCTATCTAATGGTGGCACCTTATTTATTTTTGTTCAAATAAAATTATTTCTTGTAATTAAACTTCAATAACCATCACCTGAGGGCCATGGGGAAGACAAAATTTTAATTTACTATGTTTTACCCTCAATAACCATTTTTTTTTATAAATAAATAAATAAAAACTTCGCTTTGATTTTTATTATAAAAAGCACTATATTTACCCCCGCGACCTTGAATTTTGATACGGATTACCGTACAAACATTGACAATGTTACTTCATTATTCAGTAAGACTTGTGCTGTGTGAAAAATAAACATACGGAGACATTTGCGCCCTAAATATATACTAAACTCCATAAAAACATGTTATTTGGTCATATAGATTTTGAAAGTGAGGGAGGTGAGAACATTTACAACTAGTTTGAATCAGTATTAGTTTAATGTACTTTATAAAACACATCTGTAAGGTCAATCCTGGCTGTGACAGCTGCAGTTAACTAAGCTGTACTCACGCTAGGCCCCACTCATATGAACGCTGTCAGTAATATTAGCGGTCTATACAAATCGGGTAAGAAGAACGCATCGTATCTTTTCTAACGCAACCCGCACAAGTGATTTTTTTAGGGGGGGGGGTGAAACATAGCTAAATAATTTGATATCAGACATAATGGTTGATAAGATGTTATTATTTTTGCCATAATGATGGTAGAAAGCCTAAATCACCATCCTGGAATTAGGACCCATTGCCCCATATCAAATAACAAAAACAAGTTTAAATCGAAACTTGCGTGTGAAAAGCGGGTGATCTGTACATTATTATGTAATACAGGTGAGCATTTCGGTGAGAGGTGTTCAGACAGGACCGAGGTCAGTAGAAGATGGAGAAGACAGAAGCTCATGGTACGTTGCTGCAAATTCCACACGTAGGCCAAAAATTTAGCACAGAAAATGACAGGAAGCTGCTGTAATATTGTGCACTTGATATAAGATAACGTTGTGTATTTTGTGTTGACGATGTTTGCCCAAATGATGCGTTTCGCACTGGGACATTTTAGTCCTTATGACTGTGGAGACATTGCACTTATGTCTAATACACTCTCCATTAGAATTTCAAAATCAGCTCAGAGTTTGAAAGAATTATTTTCTGTAATTTCAGAGAAGGAACGCACTTGCCAATGAGGAAGTGAGGGGCTTATTGCAGCTGTCCAAAGGTCTGAACAAGTCCTCAACAAGTAAGACGACTGGGCAGGTATCTACATTCTCCTAATTGTTTTATTGGCAAGGTCATTGACCTGTTTTCAAAGTATCAAAAATATCTTGTTAATGAAAGTTAACTTCAAACAGACAAATGCACATTCAGTAACAAGATGTTGAACTATTGTGTAACTGCATTCCTGGAAACGACAGGCCATTTGGGGAGGTGAGGGGGGTGGGGACGGGGCTACATGTACAGTGTCCCTTCCTTAGTGTTGTAAAGCAAATGACTTAATCTTTCACTAATTGCAGATAATAATTAAAAGGAATCAAACGAGTAAAAGGATAGGGAGTAATTTAGTGTAAGTTAAATTTCTTTTAAAGTCAATAAGTGTAAAAATTGTGATCGTAGTAGAAAAAGATGGAACATGTCAAAGTCACATATAGTTCGATTTGATTGGTTAATTTCTCAATAGATTTGCAAGTTTCGGACAGGTGTAAAACACATGGATAAGGTCCAAGCATGAGTAATTCAATTAATATTTTTAATTGAAAACAAGTCTCTTAGAGATTATTTAATAAGAAAATGTTGAATGGTGGCCTGCAACATGAGAATGGAAAATTCCTTGTAAAACAAAGTAAAACAAGTAAATGCATGATCAGTCCGGAGAAATAGAGTTTAAATACTTGCGAAATTGTATGAAAAGAGAGTCGGTGAATAAACGTTCGAAAGCTCCAGACCGTCCTTATTGTCAATATTACAATTATTATCTGCAATTAGTGAAAGTGTAAGTCATTTGCTTTACAACATTAGTTTAAGAGGTATCTCTTCTCCCTCCCAAAATAGCAACAACAAGAACAAGAACAAATCAAAAGTGCAAAAAAATTGTACATGGCACGAAACTAGACGAAATACAGCTAATGTATCCTCGCCCCCTCCGCCTAAAAACCCTGGCTTGGTCCGTCAAAACGTGCCTACATAATGTCTTTTTAGATTCTGTCAATTTTATACTAATTGGGCCCATCTGCCAAATGTTTTCATTCACTGACTTTCATTTCCGTGAATATTTCTGTTATCCGGGCGGCTGGTCCTTTCATACCGCATCTTACATATGAATGCAAAGAAGTATGTTGTCATTAAACAATGTGTCTATAGGGTAGAAAAGAATAGGAATGGCACAATAGTGTTTGGTTAACATAATCGCATGTGTTCCAAAATAGCATGCTGTAAAGATATACACATACTGCTTCATCAAACTGTGTCATGAATGTGATTTTCTTCGTTTATTTCAGTGGCTCCCAACCGCTGTTTACCGGATGATTGGATGCATCGCCGATCAAAGACATCAGATTCATGTTGGACATCGCCTGCGCCCATGCCAACATTCTCTCCCTTGTTGAAATTTGTGTTGTAGTTTATTCGCAGGGTTGACATTCGATATGAAGTGTAATCTTTGCCTTGGATAATACTATTCTGCATAAAATGTGTGTCAAATTAATTGTTGCACGCAGCAAGAATTTTTAACGAAATTTCTGATCAGAGAAAAAGAAAGAAATGGATGGCGTCGACCCTGCATGTCGCTGGTTATATATTATACATTTGTTTCTAAATTGAAGTACAGTACTCTGTCTGCTAATATCGTTTCAAGGTATTTTATTTATTATGTATATTTATTATTGTGTCAGGAGGTACCCATCAGTTCTCAAATCAAAATACGGCACTTTTTGGAGTTCATATTTAACAAAATAATTTTAATGCAAAAAGTATTTTGCTGAATGATGGATGAAAACAAAAATGATAGTGATCAATTATTTTTATAAGGTGATTTTTAGGTAGAGTATTGGTTTTCTAGTTGAAGGTAAAACTTGTCTGTGGGCAAATCTTCAGTTAGCCACTTGGCTGTGCATTTGAGGATATTTTAAATATTTATTTTGATTTGAATTGAATTGAATTTTGAGATTCCAATAAGAAAAATATCTCAACGTCATTACGTGAAACTTTTGAGAGACAAATGGTTTCATACATTGGACGTTAAGTTTGAGAAAAGAACAAGTTGTTAATTTACAAACACTGTACCTCAAGTTATAATGCTTTGGAAATTACAGCGTTATGAAAATGATAAGATTTGCCCACGTGATTGCAGAATTGCCCATGTATAAGGAACAATTTTTTTTTAATTGTCGATGTCCGTTTGTGACGCATGTTAAGAATGAACTTACTTTGGTTTCGGCGTTTTGATATCGTGTCTGATCAGTGACAGATACACATTTACTGTGCTGGGAGGGGTCTACAACAATGTTAAGAAAATGAAACCAGGAGAGGAATAAGGATTTTCACGAAATTACTGCGCATTCGTTATTGCAGTAGGAGAATATATGTTACCAACGTGATAAAAATTGTCCCTTCTTGGGGCCGACAAAATTTATCAGCATTGCATGAGCTCATTTGTGTGGTGTTCGACTTTTTGCCAATAAATGCAAAGCAGAAATGCAAGTGCTCTCCTGGAAATACTTTTTTGTTCATATGCATAAAAATATCTATGTAGAACTGACATTTATCATAAACTTTACATTTTTAATTTCGAAAATCAATCTTGCAATTCAAATTGATTTCTTCAGCCATCGCAAAACATTGTTGGGGGGTGGGGGTGGGGTTGGGGGGTTGGGGTGAATAGTCGTCCCAAATAATTCACTGAAGTTACGTTCACCTATGTATCTTGTTCGAAGTGCATTATTAATATATATTAACATTTCTTTGGTTGTGATTGAGAGAAAAAGGTCTGATTAGATGCCAGTCCTGCACGTCCTGTTGGGGGTATTTCTTGATCACTGAACACCGGAGACCAGAGTAAGGGTATTATTATTTATGAATTAATGAATCTTAAGTCACTGTTTTTCTTTCTGCGTAATCTTTTCAGTTTTGTTTGCATATTTTTTAAAAATTGTTATGACTAGAATAAGCTTGTAAGTTAACCAAGTCTTTATGCCGTTCCTGATTCGCATGCTGTGCCATTAACCTACCAATATTAGGATGTAATGAAATGAAAACAAAATAATATAAAACACTCGATTCTTAAAAATGACTATTTTTGGCTTCCTTTTTCTGTGCGAGAATCAGCACGACGGCATAGAACAAGGTGTGCGTGAGAGGACGACTCCCATATGAGATAATATGCTTTTTGGAATTTCGATATCATTCACACCACTGAAATTGGACACTTTGCTCCTCGATGGAATTAGTAATCAATTATAAACGTCACCTTTGAACAAAATTTGACAAGTACGATATGGTTGGACTTTCAGTTTATCTACCAGTTCTGGTCAATTTTTATGAATTTTGTTTGGGTAAGCATTATGTCCAAATTCTTTTTTTATATAAATCAAAAGAATACGTTGTAATTTCCAAAGTAGCTAGCCTATTATCTAGTAGCTTCNTAGTAGTCTTCTTCTTTTTTTTTTTTTTTTTGTTAAGCATAATTTATACAATTTTTAAAAATTTTAATGCTATTGTTATGATTGCTATCGATGTAGCAAAAAATTAACTTCACGCATTTTGTTTTGTATAAAACTATGTTGAAATTACTTGGAATTTGTTGAATCAATAAATAATGAAAACAAATATTTGTATGTTGAATTCCCTTTCATTTTTCACCTGTTCCCTTTAGCTCTATTCGAACTCTCGTTCTTCTGTGTACAGGTCTGAGCCTGTTGTGTTAGTTTACCTTGCTTATTTGAATATTTTTTTGCAAAAGGTAATTTGCTGGGACCCAGGAGCGCCAGGTTTTGAACTTACGACTTGCTGACTCAGAGGCAAGCGCGTTACCTACTCCTCTAACTGTTCCCACCCACCCACCCTGAGAAAAACCTTCTTCTTATAGTAACCGAAGGGGAAATTCTGTAAAGCCCCTTGAAGTCTTTAATGATTTCTAAGTACCCGAACCAGGAAAAGAACCCAAACCCTAGATGTTTCACTAAGTCAACAAAGTTCTTGTAGTAACCAAAGTAAACTACTAAAAGAAAATCCCAATACATGAAAGAAATTTTAGAAACGTAAGCCAAGGTCGAAGCCCAACCCCACGTTGCCGCTGAGCAATACAACCCCCGAAGAAACAACTAAGACATATTGTATACTTGGAAAGTCTTTATTCAGTGCCAAACAACTATGTATTAATTATATTTGTTTAAGAACACTTAAATCACTTCTTAATCACTTTGAATATCCGTAAGACATACACGTAAGACAAAAGTTATATCTGTTCACTTAAGGGTGTAATATATACAACAAATGTATTACGTCTTAATAATAAAGTGTCAACTTAACTACTCGTTCACGGTTTGGTGTTATAAATATCAACAAGCATTCAAAAAAAAAAAAAATTGAGAACGACTTTTACCAATTTTCTCTATTAAAAAACAATGGCGGCTCTTGTAACTCCCCTCATATTTTCCATCTCATCGTCAACCAAATGGCCCGCCAGAGGCGCACACATTTCAAGGAATAATTGCATGATTCACAAGTGCCCCTTGATTTTCGCTGTATGTATATTTATATATCTATAAGATGGATAAGGAAAGAAATTCACAGTAATTAAAGAGATCTAAAACAGTTCATCAAATATTACACAAAATGTGTGCATCACTGACGTAATTTGTAAATGGAAATCAATAAACAAAAAAAATTTTTTTTTCGTCATATTCGGAATTAGCTTGATAAAGGAATGGACTGACAAAAATTGCACCACTGATAAGATCATTACTTGTGGCTACTTTTATATCTACATTATGTATTTGATTTATTATTACCATAGCATAAAACGTGGAAAATGTACATATCATGAAAATCACCTGTCAGGAAAATATATCAGTAAACTGTTGCAACTTCCAAATAATCTTTCTAAACGCTCACTTTTGTCTAATTAAGAAATTGTAAAAAAAAAAGTTTCCACATAACTGCGTATTTTAAATTCGCACGAAAACGTAAGTCACAACTCGTTATTTTCGCACCCAAAAAGTTTGGAAACATCGTTATTTTGAATAAATAACCATATTAGCTAAGGTAAATAATTAAACCAAATATTAAAATTCCCTCCATTTGTTATTTGTTGTATGCACAGAAGATTTTCCTAATACATTACATATTTTTTTAATTATTGTCAAACAATTTCACGTTTCCGGACTTTTTTGGTCACGTGTATCATAACCTACAATCTCCCAGGGCCGCTGATTTTATGTGCACTTTTCTCTGATGCTTGCAGGTCAGAAAAGTCCCATCGTTTAACTAGAGACATACATTGTGTATCTGGTGCAAAATCAATCTGTGGCCCTGGTAAAAGATAATCATTACTGTGGTGCCATTTTACAAATGCCACGGCGGCAAATTAGGTCTTACGAGATCAGAGCAAATTGAAAGGCATAAGGGGCAGATATCTTTACTGAAATAAACTAATCCTGTATCTGATGACCACTAAGTCTTAAAAATGCCATGTTTCAAATACCCAATGCTTTATTTTCAAAGGTGTCGACAGAACGATTAACATTTGTTTGAAACAGTATTTTGCGCTATCAGTTCGCCCCCTATGCCTTGAAGGGGTAACAACAGTGAAGCCACATATTTTAAAGCTCCCGTCACACAAAAATCTGTACAGTGTAGCTATAATTCAACTTATACATTCAACGGGCTAAAATAGTACAACTGGACTAGTGAAATCGTGACGAAATTAGAAATGGAAGTGTAATACTTATACAGTACCTACTGTCTGTTATGCTCTTTTTATTTCGACCACCAACCGCTTACTACAAATATTTACACGTCAGTAACAAGGAATTTAAATGGGAGATTCCACAGCATTTCCCCTTTTTTGTCTGCTTCTAGTAAATATACTCCTGGTACGTCTTCAACTGACGATACTTTTTCTACTAACGAATTTCGAAATAGTTTTCATTTCCAGAGGACGTGATAAGGTGAAGTAATGGAGGAAGCAACATGTTGTGGGGGAAACACTGGGGAATGGCCAAGCCATTTTTATACATGCACGCGTCACATTACTTCCTATAAAATCAATTACAAATAAGTTAGCATCAAATCCCTAACACTGATACATTGAAACATAAATATTTGTATACTTAGTTTCTAAACCGCCTCGCATCCACTCCCTGATCACGTAAGGTGTATCTACTCTTCCTAGAGAGTAGGTTAAATTTGCTTTTTGGGGGAGGGGCTAAAGCATTTCTGTCCAACCCTCACCCTTATCTGACAAGCAAAACTTGATAAAAATTTTACTAAAATCAAAATGCATATATATAGTGCATTTGTGTTAAATATATTTCATAAACAAACCAGAAGAAAACACCCAAAATAAAATAATATTATGTAGGTCAATGGCGATTCTAAAACGGTCCACTGCTTTCATCTGAGCAGTTTTCGCCATGTTTGACAAACTGGTCAGTACTATAACGCCACCTGGAGGAAAATATGATCGTCTCTGTTGCAATAAGTACCTACCACATTATGATATCAACATACTACATGTAGCTGTATATGACATCTACGTCTTTGTATGTCCACATATGAATCTACAGTGTATGTACAGGTGTATGTAACGTGCTTATTTGGTTTATTTGGACTTCTTGAGGAGGAGGGTTTTTCTGAGGACATACTGTAAACCAGTGACAAGGCAGAAAAGCTGTCATGTGTACAGACAGATATATAACACATGGTGGAAGCACTGACATGAAAACAGTCTACTGCCGCTGTACTGGGGGTAAATTAAGGAAGCCATTTAAAAAATGAAAGGGCACAAATGTTTGATTCAGTAAATCAATGTTTATGTTTTGTTACCTAGTGCTTAACAACAACATGATAACCTGTTTTCAATAAAGAAATGCATCTGTTGAGTTACCACAAGACTTGAGACCCATGTTAATACTTATTAAATCACAATTAAAATATGCCAAACTGTGAATAGTGAAAGTGAGCAAAATCTAATAAGGTTGGTTTTTAAACATTACACCTACAAGTGTGTAGAAAGCAAAAGTTAATCTGCTGTGTGTAATTGAAATGTGTTTTTTTTTTCACAATTCATTTGAGAAAAGTGAAAACTAAAGGATCAGAGAGGTAATACTGCCTCTGGGTATTGTACCACCAGCTAGAGTAAGTGCATTCTTACAGAAAAAAAAAGAGAAAGAGAGAGATACCACCTCCAGTGTTGTGCTTGACAAACTTTACAAAATGCAGTTAACAAGAGTTCTCAATTTTTTTAAGAATATTAATATTACAATTTATGACAAGGTTGTGAGAAGTAAAAGTTCAAACCCAAGGTTGCAGTAAGAATGAGGATATAGGACTTCCCATCCAAGTTCAATTGTATATATCTGAGCTTGAAAATTTGGAAATTGCATTTCATGGCTAAAAGTAGGTCAAAGGTCAAATTCAAAGTCACAGGAAAACTGTCAACATACAAGTTCCTATTCAGGTTCAGTAACTAGTATCTATGGGCGTGCCGGTTTTGGAGATATAATGGACAGAAAGTTCAGTTCATGTTGATAAGTAAGTCAAAGGTTAATTTCAAGTTTACTGTTAGATAGACAGTATATAACTTCCTATTCT